CCATAGGAACAGAGTAGTGTCATCCTGAATCTGGTATTATGAAGAGGATCCTGCATAGGCTGGTCCTGCTCCAACTGACAGTTTCCACCTGGGAAATAGCATCCAGGGGAAATGAAAGGAGAGAAACAGCTTTGCTCTCTTCTCACTGAGTGGAAAATCATGAGAATTTGTGGTAAATTAAAACTCTGCAATGCACTCAGGAGGAAGCCTCAATGGTCTAACACCCCAGCAACTGGGAAGTGGTAAAAACTCCCTTACTCTGATGGAAGAAGAAGGGGGAAGTAAACATGGAGGGGAGTTTGGAGGAACATCTCACCGGAGACTGTGCAATGAGTGTCCGCAAGTCCATATTTTGAAAAGCAGACTGATCTCAATTTATTCAGTGAAAGGGTTGGCAGGGGTGAGCAAAAATTCCCTTCTGCTTTACTCATAAAGTCCATGAGTGACAGTCCACGATTGAGTGAAACTTACTGATATCTAGAAACATGTATATGCCACTGGCTATGTCACCAGTGGTCTTGTGGAACATCACATCTCTACAGTGAGTATTACAGCACAATCAGTAAATAGTGTGGGTTTGAGGTAAAGCATACCTGACCAGGTAACACCCATCACAGAGTGGGATCATATTATCAGTGGTTAAAAAAAAAGAGGGTATCTGAGAAGAAAACATAACTGAAAGGAAGTTATAAGACTACCCCAGTCAAATGTGAATGGAAATGTGTAGAATTGCCATGGGAGGGAAATGATATCCATCCGAGGAAGATACAGCCAGATCAAGCAGATAATGAGCAACATAGGTATTGGGAGTAGTCCACATTCCGAGCCTGAATGATCTTCTCCAACAAATGGTGAAGGCAAACAGCCAAAGACATGGTGAGATCACAAATTTGATGAAAAGAAAGTTGTGGAGATGGCGACTTTCCATGGATAAATCTAAATATGCCAGCCTAACAAGCTGATGGTCCCAACCAGTGATCATGACAGGGTATATAGCATGGGAAATGGAATGGTTTTCAGGAATAAAAATTTGAGTACATGAACTCCAAAAAGAGGATGTACATGCCACATAACACTGTAAGAAGCAAACTGGACAAAGAAACCAATCAGGATCAAAACTGGTGTACAGGTGAGAGACAGAAGGTAAGGAAATGGGTGTGAAAGCCAAACCACCTTCACATGCAGCATAAGTCTTAGGAAGGAATGACTGGTCAGGATATAGGATGACATAACAGAAATGGTAGAGGATGCATGTAACATTAAAGGCATAAATATCTGATCAACGATGTCCACAAGCAAGGAGAAGGAAATAGGTCTTGAGGGAGAGATAGTACATGGAACACAAACAAAGGTTCAAAGGGAGGATGAGAAAGAGCATAAAGGATCACAATGAGATCCCAATCAGGTAAATCAAAGGAACATGGAGAATGCATGACTCAAAAGGAGTGGAGAAGGAAAAAAATAAAAGGGAAAGACAAAACCTTATGAAACTAGGAGAAACAGAAAGTGTTCAACAAGGCCTCCTGATAACTAGACACAGTCAAAGTGGAGAAGCCTTTGTAAAAAAACCAGGCGAAGAATTGAGAATTATGAAGAATGGAAATCACATCAAAGATACAAAAGCGGAAAGTAGATCATCGCCTTTGGTAAATGGAGATGGATGAAGGGCTGATGGAACAGGAAAAGAGAGGTACAACATGTGGAGTCAGTCCTTGGGCTGAAGCAATGGACCTGACAAAAGCCATGCATGAAAATGGAGTGTGGTGATGTCTGGATGAACAATGTTTGATTGAGGTTGACAGAGTAGAGACCAAAATAGAGGAAAGGGTAGAGGAGGTTGAACAAGTAAAGGTTGGAGCAGTGGGAACCGTGGCTGCACTGGCCAATAAGGAGCCACCAGTAGGACTAGACACAGAGTGGTTTCGAAGAGAAGAGTCGAATAGGAGGGTAAGCATGAATATGAAGACCCCTCCAATCTTTACTAAACACATTCACCCCAGAGTTAGCAAGTGTGGAATGGAAGACAAAAAGTGAGGAAGTATGGTGTATCAGTGGTTGGCAAAGGAATATATGAGGTGTCTCTATCTGGGAACACATCGACCAAAAGACTGTGGTTCAAGGGACCACTCTGTAGGGAGAATATTGTTGGGATGAGATAATCAATCCACAAACCAGATTCAGAGTGCTAAGAACATGGCAAGCTAAGACCACAATAGAGATCCAGGATCTGAATGCACTGAGACCTGGAATTAAGTACACCCTTGCTTGCTAATATAAGTGACCACTGTGGAGTTGTCGGGGTGTACTATAACCACCCTCCCCTGCAGGAGAGAAAGGAAGTGAGACAAAGCTCGACAAACCACCATAAGATCGAGATATAAAGAGAAGATTCATTGATTGACCAAAGACTGGAAATTTCATGGGAGTTGAGGTAAGCACCCGAACCCTCTAAAGATGAGTCCTTGAACAGATGTAAATCCTAATAAGGCAGAGGAAGTGGCACCCCCACCATGGTCTGGTTTCTGTCTGACCACCAAGCCAAATCGGCTATGATCATGGAATGAAGGGTAAAAGGATGATGTCCAATGGATCAGAGTAGAAGTCCCACTGATCTAAGAGTGTTTACTGTAGGGAATGCATAAGAGCC